TGGTTCTTTCGGTACAGTCACGTAGAAGGGAAATAATAAAATAATATTTTAAAAAAACATTTCGATTTAAAGCTTTCGTTACTGCAGGGATTCATCTTCTTGGTTCTTTCGGTAAAGTCACGTAGAAGGGAAGTAATAAAATAATAAAAATATAAAACAATAAAAAACACTTCGATTTAAAGCTTTCGTGACTGCAGGGATTCATCTTCTTGGTTCTTTCGGTAAAGTCACGTAGAATGGAAATAATGTTTAATTTTATTATTTATTATTTCCATTCTACGTGACTTCACCGAAAGAACCAATAAGAGGAACATCAAACGTCTCCCAGGATCACCTCCGGACGTTTGAGTGTTAAACTCTTTGTTTTTAATTTGTGAACCCGGTTGTGGCAAAATGTTCCTTTAACTATGAAATGGCCCACATGGGACTTTAAGCGACCATTGAGTTCTCCCAGAGGGTTTTCTTGTTTCAGCTGTTAAGTCTTCCACGTGTACCTATCAGTTTAACACTTAGGCTTTCGCGACCAATATTATTCATAATCAACGTTTTTGGGTTAGATCGCGTTATTTATAAATGATGAAGTCACCCTGCTGCTGCTCTATATAAGAACGGGAGACAGAGCAGAGCCCATCACCATTCTGGCGAATTGCCCGATGATGCTGGATGCAATTACCAGCGAAACGTCGTACTATTCAAAAATTGAAAATGTTGTCGTTTCACGCTTCAACACACCGGTGAGCTAAAGCAGTTAACTATTTTGTCTTTTGTCAACGTGACACTTTTTTTGCTGATTGGCCGTGTCGGGTGGTGGAGGGTTACGACACATTTATAAATAATAATGCGATCTAACCCAACAACGTTTATTATGAACGTGTACCTATGTTGAACTTCTTTCGCACCGTACGTAGCCAACCGTGGCTAGAGAGGGACTCCTACACAGTCCTGGCCCAGCATGGCAAGGTGGCAGCGCAGAGGCAACAACTTTGAGCCTCACAGCAACGCGGCCCTGGGTTCAATTCCAGACTCGGGGCCCCCTTTCTGCGTGGAGTTTGCTCCCCCCCCCCCCCCCCCCGTTACTGTTGTTGGGTTTCAACTCTAGGTTCTCCGCGTTCCTCTCAGAGCTTAAAAAAAACACCAAAAAACCCCTCCGGTAGTTGGCAAAAACGTCCCAATGGTGCAAAACCTATTTGCAAACTACTCGCCTCGCGATAAGAACACGGCAGCAGGAACATCGCCCCCATAAAAAAAACATATCAAAAGTAAAAAAATCCTAAAAAAAAACGATGTATAGACCTTTGTCTGTACTCTGCTGGATTACGGCTTCTCTCGTTTCTTGTCAGGAATAGGGCTTGTTTGATCATGCTGGTCAGCGCCGGTTCTCGAAGGTGTTGTCCGAGTATGAGAATTTTAAGGTCAGGTTTCTGCGTGTAGGGTGTTCATTGTGAATCGTGTAGGGTGTTCATGGTGGAGCGTGCAGGGTGTTCATGGTGGAGTACACCATGACTACCGTCTGATCCGAGGAAGATGTTGCGTGTTTTTTTTAATTAGGCGAAATATGTTCAAACAAAATAAAAATCACGACGTTTCGGAGGCAACACAAGCTTCCGTCTTCAGGTGGAACCGTCACAGCCACGACAGCTGTATCAAGTAAATGAGAGATTGCAAGAGCTACCACTCCGTTTATATAATGGTTGAAGAGGGGGGAAGGGCCAAGTTACGGCACAACTTTTTATTCATATGGTAAGGTGAGGCTAACATAGTGTGAAAAGGAGAAAACAGCTAAACATGGTAAAACAGCCTGGCTGTCTATCAATAACCTGTAATAGTTGTCTGTCAAATAAGATTGGCCAAATAAGTGTAGTTACATCTTTTTTGCATGGTTAATCACATCTTTCCAATGATTACTCAGTTTGTAACCATCATCACGGTTAAAATTATGTCTGTGTTTGACAGACTTTACCGAAAAAACTAAGAGTAAATCAAAGTTAGATTGAGGTGCTCAGGACCGATGCAGACTTCACCCGCTACTGACGTCAACCGTTGGCCAGAAATCACTATCAGGTCATCGGTTTATAGCGACGGTGCGCTACCCACCGCGCCAACCGCTTGCCAATAACTACAACACAGCTAGCTCACAACGCCGTTTAAAGAGCTCCTCCTGGGAAAATCGTGTCTCCAAAAAAGCCCTTTTCGCAGCATTTCATTCTGAGCTCTCTAAAAATAGTGCGTACAGCACCAGGCACGTTGAACACGTGGAAGGCTTTCGCGAACAATATAATCCCACTGATAATGCACACCGGTGTGTTGGAGGGTACAAAGCCACGCTTGTCGAATGGTAAATGTTGTGGGTTTACTCTCCAATGCACCGTGTGCTGAACTAGTTACCGACTTGCCATGTGTTGTTTTACGTGACAAACCTCACTAATTGGCCGTTGGGTGGTGGCGGGTTTAACGACACATTTACATTTACGCGATCAAACCCAAACGCCTCGATTCTGTCAAAAGTACGTGAGGTGACCGACAAATATTCACAATTTTATTTGTCTTCTTGATTCTTTCGGTAAAGTCACGTAGAAGGGAAATAATAAAGTATAAAAATAAAACATTCAGACACTGTCTTTCCGACAGACCTGTTCTTCACCTGAGGACGGCTGCTTGCGTTTGGCCGAAACGTCGTGAGAATTATTTATTATGTTTTATTTGTATTCTTTTATTATTCCCGTCTACGCGACTTTACCGAAAGAACCAAGAAGATGAAATTCCGCCCTCTTATTATGTGCGATGATCGAGTTTGGTTTCTCTGCCCTCGGCGTTTTCCCCCTACGCCACTGGACACAGGAGGCGAGATGTTAACTACCTCGCCTGGTATACAGGAGGTCGTGGGATCGGGCCCAACCCTAACGCCTGCTGTAATATTTGGAATTGCGTCTCTCTCTCTCATGATCACGGTGGCTATTAGATGCTAACTACCTCACCTGGAATACAGGAGGTCGTGGGTTCGAGCCCAACCCTGACGCCTGCTATATATTTGGAATTTGCGTCTCTCTCTCTCATCATCACGGTGGCTCGGAGATGTTAACTACCTCGCATGGAATACAGGAGGTCGTGGGTTCGGGCCCAACCCTGACGCCTGCTGCTGTATATTTGGAGTTTGCGTGTTTCTCTCTCCCTCTCTCTCCCCCTCCCCGTGGTCGCGTGGATATTCCTCCGGTTTTTCCTTCCACATTTAGATTAGACATCACGTGTTTAAGGTATTCGGCTGCTATACATTTCCACGTGTTCTATCATATGCGATAACCTGGTCGCTTCTGAAAAAGAGCTACACGGCTCAGTGGAACCTTACCTGCTAGAATAAAACGAGTCTCTCGTTTAGAACGCGAAGCTGCAACTCACATTGAAAGCGCTCTGTCGAGCGGCACAGTGCCCGCGTAAACCCTCGCGACGTCAACGTACGCTGAACTTCTTTCGCGCAGTACGCAACCGACCGTGCTCATCGAATGTGCGGAAGGAAAGGGGGACACAGACTTCGACAAATTGCCGATGGACCAGAAAAACCCATTCCGTTTCGGGTTAGGATGAAGGTCAAATCACTTCATTTGCATTGAACGTACACGGCGTGTCGAGGTGTGAACACATCGTTGACTAAATGGCCTCCTGCGTTCTTCCACGACTTCGCACGATCGCTCTGCGACTCTCCCACGCAGATCAGAAAAGTCTGAAGACACCTGGGCCTGACAGGATTGTCGTGAGCGGCAGACAACTCTTGCGCATCGTTCCTTCCGATACATTCCAATCAACAACAAGCATATTCTTAGGTTTTTTCGGAAAAGTCACGTAGGTAAAAAATTAAAATTAATAAAAATAAAATAAAAATAAAATAAAAACCACGACGTTTCGGAGGCATGATAGCTGTATCAAGTGATACAGCTGTCGTGGCTGTGACGGTTCCACCTGAAGACGGAAGCTTGTGTTGCCTCCGAAACGTCGTGATTTTTTTTTTTTACGTTTATTAATTTAATTTTTTTACCTACGTGACTTTACCGAAAAAAACCTAAGAATATGAATCCTTGCAGTCACGAAAGCTTCAAATCTAGAATCAACAACAAGCACCCAACCATGCTCGTTCTGCTTTATTTTAATTTAAATACACCATTCTATTCATATTTACTTACTGTAACGTGTCGTATGTGCGTTACCCCCCTCCCCATCCTGTCCTGTCTCAGTTTAGTTTTTCCAAGAAAAGCATCGTTTCTGAAATTGCCAAAAAAAATAGAAGAAATGCAGATGTCTTCACCCCCACCCCCCCCCCTTGTTTTCATGCCCCGTGCTCAGCCGCTCGCGATGAACCATCTCGAGTCCTTGCACGAAGATTGTTCCCAGAGCTCCTCCACAGAAGCACGACGATCCCTCCCTCCCTCGATCCCTCCCCCCTCCCTCCCTTTTTTTACGATCAGAAGAAAGTTCGTGGTCACAATCCCATGGGCAATGCTACAGCTCAGATCACCGTGGCGCTTGTACAATGGATTTGAGCAAAACAGCTCCCAATGAGGCCTCACGCGATCACCGCAGAGCATCGTGTTCCTCCAAGCGTAGCCTCTGCGTGACATTATTTGTTGATGGTGGAAATTGACCATTTGGGCGTACAGCTTTTTTCCGGTCTACACCTGAGAAGAACCCCTAATGGTCATTGCCCGAGGTGTGCTCCCCGTGCTGCTGTGAGGAAGAGAGGTGAGTGTGCTTCCTTGCTGGGACGACATTCAGTTTTGGTGGCACTGGGCCACCGCCGGCTGACTCGTCACCAACACTCACAGCAGGCGCACTGCTATTGGGAAAGACCTTTTGCGGAGAGTCTCACTGAGTGCATTCTGGCCATTGCAGCTATCTCGGCAGGGAGAAGCCACTGCCCTTCCGTGCCTGGTCTCACCTACTTGCCCACCCTCGTGAGACGTGCGTCCACCATGCGTTTCTCCATGGCAGGGCCCACACGAGAGGGTAGTGCCATGTTGGGGTTCCGTAACAGCGGCTCGTGAGCGAATTCAGATGCTGACCAAAGTTTATTCAATTTCGATTTAAAGCTTTCGTGACTGCAGGGATTCATCTTCTTGGTTCTTTCGGTAAAGTCACGTAGAAGGGAAGTAATACAATAATAAAAATAAAACATAATAAAATAATTCTCACGACGTTTCGGCCACAACGCAAGTAGCCGTCCTCAGGTGAAGAACGGCTGCCTGGGGATTTGTTCCTGGCCAGGGCACTCACTGCCATGTCCAGGTCGCTTTGTTTGACCTCTTCTTCTAGAAGGTCCCTGTCCTTTTCTCCCAAAGTAGACAGGTCCTTCCAGATTTCATTCTGGGCCACTATGGATATATGCTCTGGAGAAAAGAGATTTCCACAGTACTGTGCTACTGTTGTAGCTATTTTATTATTATTTGAACAAGGACCCCTTTGTCATCAAATAAATGCTCCATAGCTTTGTGTCTACCATTCTGCTTCCCTAATGAGAAGAAAAGTGTCGAGCTAGAGTCCATATCGAGGGTATCTTTAAAACGAGAGCGTACAAATGCCCCTTTTGCCTTTTCTTTCTGCAACCCTTTTAGACATTTTAGGGTCTCCACATATTCCTGCGGTAGGCCTGGATCGTCCCCAATCTTCCACCTTTGCTCTAACTTATGGACCCTGTTCTCTAGCTCACAAATTTCTCAGTCAATATTTTTAGTGTTTCCCCAGGCATACAACTGACACAGTTTTTCTATGTGTACTTTCCCTATGTCACACCATTGTGCTAGGTTATTAAATCGATCTTTATTTCCCTGCCACTCCATCCAGAAGACCCCAAAAAATCAGTGAAGGTGGTGTCTTGCAAAAGGGCATTATTGAAATGCCAATATATCGATCTCCTTGAGACTCCTTGTATTTTCATTTGAAGTAGTATAAGGTGATGATCGGCCAGTGGTGCCGCCTGAATACTAGACGACACTGCAATATTGTCAAGGTTTTTTGAGATGTAAAAACGGTAAATCCTTGACTGCGACAGTGTCATGTCGGCTCGGTTTCTTGTAAAGGTGAAACCTTGCTGCTTTGGATGTTGCATGCACCACACATCTACGAGACTGTACGCCTAGAGCATCTGCCGCAAGGTGTTCAGGACACTGCTTTGGCACAGCTCCGTGCCA